GGGCGGATGGGGTTTAACAAGTCCACTAGACACAAACTAGGTCATTTCGGAACTAACAGATGGTTTAACTTTATTTCAATAATTCGCTTTAGAAGTGGGTGGGAGTAAACCGGGGGACACGGAGAAAACCCACGAGGTTGAACAGGCGACCCTACTCCTTGTCACGTATAGCCGGGGAATCGAAACCATGTCAGTTGAATCAATGATAACCTTATGATACAGCGAGGACGACGTGCAAACCCTTCGCCCCCATCCCCTCATAATATCAGACACTAATGACAACATACTAGTGGCTACAGTCAGTTGATGTGTCGATGACATTATAAATAAATTGAAAATGGAAAATATGTTCGAATATTATCGCAAAATGGCCACGCTTCATTCTGAGTGGAGTTATGGCCCTTTGAAGAACAATGTAGTCTTGATTATCCACGTTTTAATTGAATTTTTAAATGCGATCGTGTTTAAATCCGTAAAATATCTCAACCCTCCGATATCCTAGAGCGTTGATTATGGACTTGTGCTGCGAAAAAAATGACTCAATAAATATAACATTTAAGGCCAAAAGAAAAATCTGCAATGGGCCGATTTAGCTCTTACATATTGCATTTTTAATGGATCTATAAAGACTTGATTATCGTCCTTTATATTTATTTATATTTATAAACATATCAATGCATCTTTAAAGATATCACTACTCCTGACAAACGTGAAACACAAGCCAGTAGAGCGTATTAATATTTTGCCACGGGATATCGACCAAAGCAATTTAAAGAGAAAGAGAGAGAGAGAGAGAGAGAGAGAGAGAGGGGGGGGGTAACGTCCACTCGACACAAACTAGGTCATTTCGGGACTAACACATGTTTCAATTTTATTTCAATAATGCACTTGCGCGTAGGGGTCTTCAGCAGTGGGAGGAAACAGGAGGACCCGGAGAAAACCCACGTACAGCCGGGGAATCGAAACCCCGCCAGTTGACTCAACGACAGCCCGTATGATACAGCGCGCGCGTGCTAACCATTCGCCCCCCCACCCCCACCCCCAAACCCAAATTGAATATTTTGATCTGGTTTAAAACATGGGCCACAAAAAGAAGGACCAGAATGCCAACTGTACTCTCAACAACACGACTTGCACGGGATGTGGGAGTTGAAAATACGCTGGACTCTTGTCACCCCATGAAGGCTGCAGGGCTTCATCATCGAAGTTCGCAATGGGAAGGCTTCATCTCCAACCAAGACGTAGGGCATGTCCCTGACATCCCCGGACAATGGTTCTGGAGGAGGAAGACCAAGCTTATCATTTTCCAATGCAGAACAAAGGCTTGATCTGTTGAAGACCCCACAGTTTGACGCAGACCCTTTGGCATCAACATTCGTCCACAGAAACTTGTACATGGGCATCTACAATGCCCAAGAGTATTATCAAAACAAAAATCCTTTGTAATTGTAGTGCTCTGGACCACTCATGTCGGGCTTCTCACAGATGTGTTGTCCGGCAACGTCGTGGGAAACTTTGCTGCCACCTCGAGCCATATGTCGATGGTCTCCGTGCATACTAAATTGTCCGTACTATATTCCTCGTAAATAGCACGACACACCTATATAGCCAGTTTCAGTTCGGGCTGAAGTGGACGGCCGTTTCTTGTACCCTTGGCAATGTGGGGTGTCACACGCACCAAGAGCTCTGCAAACATGTGTTTGTATGTGTAGGGCCAAGGGTCTCTAAGGCCAGCAGACCCGTAACTGGGGGGGGGGGGCGCAGGGTGCAAAGCCCCCCCCCCTCCCTGCAAAAAGTTTCTCCCCCCTGAGAAAACTTTTTCGACCATAAAAAAATAGATATACATTGTCCGTCAATATTACAGCACCCCCGAGAACACTTCCCGCCCCCCTCGTTGCTCTGAGTCAGTTTCGGCCCTGGAGGCCAGTTTGCGACCTTCTACATACCCAAGTAACGCTTAAGTCTCACGCACGAGTTTACTAAAAAATTTCTCTTGTAGACTGCCCGTAGTAGCACGTACAACGGGTTGTAAACTAGGCTTAAAGGGCCAATCCCGATAATATGTTGCTTAATTTTGTGTTAAAATCCCTTAAAATCCTCTACCAAAGGGCCGAGCAACTAACTCAATATTTGTGATACGTTTTCAAACAACTTGAACCTGTCGGTCTTCATCTGGAAATGGACAGTACAGCACATGGGTCATTCATTGTATAGACCTCTAAAGGAGTGGGAATCGATTATCAGGTCACCCAACCTCAAAAGGGTTACGTGTCCGGATAAGCATTTATGACGTTCACGTCCAAACGACTAAATATTGTGAGCTGAATTTTTGAGACAAGGTAAACACACCATTCCTCTATATTTTGGCGCTTAAATTTCAAACGTACTCGGACTTTTATTTTTGAGACTCTGTTCATACCCTAAGGATGATCCATATTGTTTTTGGTTCATGCCCGACCTACAGGGGCAGAGCCACGCCCATTTTTGTATTTGTTTGTCGTTTGCCGGCCGCATTTCTTAACACATCATCTTGAAACTTTGCATACTTATTCTTTGTACCCTAAGGAACATCCCTGTCGTTTGGGTTGCATGCCCAACACCCAGGAACGGAGCCATGTCCATTATCTTTTTGTGTGTCTGTGTGTCGCCTACAGGTCACAATTCTTAATCGATCGTCTTGAAAAAATTTCATATTGATCCCTTTTGTTTTTGGTGCATGCCCGACCCCCAGTGGCAGAGCCACGCCCATTTCTTGGATTTATATTTTGCCATCTACAGACTGCATTTCTTAACGTATCATCTTGAAACATTGCATACTTATTACTTCTATCCTACGGAACATCCCTATTGTTTGTGGTGAAAGCCCCGCCCTAGGGGCAGAGCCACGCCTACTTTCATTTTGTGTGTCACTGACATCCCGCAATTCTTAATCGATCGACTTGAAAACTTTTTTATACTTATTCCTTATACCAGGCCCGTAACTAGGGGGCGCAGGGGTGGGGGGGTGATTGATATACATTGTCCGTCAATTCTACGGCACCCCTGAGAACACTTCTCGCCCCCCTGGTTGCTCTGAGCTAGTTACGGCCCTGCCTTATACCCTAATGCTGACCTCTATTATTTTTGGTTCATGTCAGACCCCCTGGGACAGATCCACACCCAATGCTTGTGTGTCTTGTCTTTCATCTACAGGTCGCAATTCTTAACAGATCCTTTTGAAATGTTACATACCTATTCCTTATACCCTAAGGATGACCCCTATTTTTTTGGTGATTGCCCAAACCCTAGGGGCAGAACCAAGGCCATTTTTTCTCTGTGTCTCTGTGTGTTGCCTACAGGCCACGATTCTTAATAGGTCGTCCTTGAACTTGGAATATATTCCTTATAGCCAAAGGACGACAACTGCATGTCCCAACCACCAGGGCAGAACCACGCCTAATTTTTGTGTTTATCGTTTACAGGCCGCAATTCTGAATGGATCAACTCTAAACTTGGCATATGTCTTCCTTATAGCCTAAGGGCATCAACTATTGATTTTGGTGAATGTCCCGACCACCCAGGGGCAGAGCCACCCCCCAATTTTTGCCTTTAGCGCCCAAAGGTCACAATTCTGAACGGATTATCTTGGAACTTGGTATACTTATTCCTTATACACTAAGGACATCAACTATTGATGTTAGTGCACGACTCCCTCTTCCACCCCCTGCTCTTTTGGCGGTGCCACACCTACTTTTTGTTGATATTTTGTCTGTAAATGATATACAGAATGTAATTATAACAGATTTGGATCCAATTCGGAATGATCCAGCATAGGGTTGTACCTATATATATTGCTCCATGTCCACCCCCCCACCCCCCCCAGGGGCAGAGCCACGCCCAATTTGTGTGTGTTTTGTCTTCAGGCTGGAATTCTAATTGGATAATCTTGGAACTTGGCATATTTATTCCTTAAACTGTAAGGATAGCAACAGTTTATTTTGGTGAATGTCCCGACCCCCAGGGCACGGGGCATGGTACAACGGCCACTTTTTTGTTAGTTTTTATCGGTAAATACTCTACAGGTTGCTATAATTAACAGATTTTGTTCAAACTCAGCATATCATAGGGTGGTACCTATTTAAATGTATACTGTTTCAAATCACGCCCAATTTTTGTATTTATCATCTACAGGCTGCAATTCTGAATGGATCATCTTGGAACTTTGCTTATTTATTCCTTATACCGTAAAGACAGCAACTATTTATTTTGGTGCATGCCCCGACACCCTGGGGCAGTGTCACATCCCATTTTTTTTTAATATTTAGTCTGTAAATTTGCAAACAAACCCCAACGCCCTACCTTCTTTGCCTCTTGTCATATAACAGCCATTTCATATTTCATTCTCTTCATTTTAAAAAGTACCATATCAGTCAAAGCAGGAATGTGAACCTATATTGCAGCATTAGGGATGCTCTTCTTCTAATTTTTACTCCCATTTACATTAATGTTTTATTTTAAAATTGATGTCGTGTTTGCTACACTGTACTGATGAATTTGTATTGCAAACCTAACTGGGGGGGGGGGTTGCCAAATGGTTAGCATGTGCGCGTTGTATCATAAGGTCTGTCATTGGGTCAACTGACATGGTTTTGATTAAACAGCTGTACAGGGTTGCCTTCCAACCTCTCTGGTTCTCTCTCCGGGTCCTTAGGTTTCCTCCCACTGCTAAAGACCCCTACGTGCAAGCAAAATATTGAAATAAAATTGAACCATATGTTAGGCCCGAAATAATTTTTAGTTAAACCCCATCTCTCTCTCTCACACACACACACAAACCTAGCTGTAAGGATTCACTCTTATTAACAGAGTTCTCAATGCATGCACATACATTTTGACACTTTTTAACAGAAAATTTGACATGAATTGTTAGAACCGACATGTTTTCTATTCAGAATGAAAATGTGGCATTACATAGGAAAGTGGGATCAAATTTCGCAATTTCGACATATACAATATTAAAATGATGTTGTAAAAAGTTTATTCAAAAAGTTGTGATATAGAGCTAAAGATTTACACATAGAACACAAAACCAATAAATAATATAAATACAAAGACATCAACAAAATCTACATAAACACATATTAATCATTAGCATGAACAGAGAAAAGAGGAAGATCTCAATGTAATAGCTCTCAATAGAATTGTGTAAAAGTTGGTTGGATAAAGTAAAACCTTTTTAAAATTAAGAATGTATTAATCCTAAATCCCAAAGTTATGCCCCCCCCCCTCCATCACCCCATTAAGTTTCAAACCAAGCTTTTTCAATTAACTTTAAAGCTCCTAAATGCTGTACAGTTCTCCATCTGGAACAACCCTGGCTAAATTTATTAGAATTTTTTGTCATTTATATAAAGATACAGCCTGTTTAATTTGGTTTTCTGTTCTATCCGGACAACTAGACAGTATTTGTTCCTTAGTAGACACTCTGCCCTGCATTACTTACAAGGGGAAACCCGTCTGGAAAGTCCTGAGGAATTTCGCAACTAACACAAGGATCAAACTGAAGACCTCTGGGGGTTAGCGAGCCAGTGCCATACCCACTGAACCACTGTGGCTCCCTCATGTGACCAATTCTCCAATGACAAATATATGTCAAATCGGTTACTTTGGGGTTACCTTTGGATTATTTTATAAGGAGTATTTCCTTTTATCCCAAACTTCAAACTGTATCACACTGAGATACGATCTTGTCTGCACGCATTTACAGCACTTTTAGTGATGGGTAAATTCTTGGCAGTCGAGAAGTTTTGGAGTAATGATGTGTCAATATATCAAATTTCCCACAGCTAAATACACACTAATAAATACGCAAATTGATTATTTAATTAAGAAAACAAAATGCTAAATAATATCCTAATTAAGAAAACAAAATGCCAGATACTGTAATGTCCCTGCTTGGATTCATTTAGATTTAAAACAGGACTATCATTGATCATTAAGTTTTGTGTCCAACAAAATGGCAACAAGGCTTGCATAACAAGCAACATAGATTGATGAAATGTCAATTCAACATATCTTTATAAATACAGAGTGAAAACGAACCATTCCTGGACTGATATTCCTTTTAAAGATTTAATTTTAACAATATTGCAGTTTGCAAGGGATTCTATATCCACGGTTCCCGCAACTTCGTCAAAATTTTTTTCAAGGATAAATATACGTCAAATTCAAGGATTTTCAAGGACATTTTTTAGCCTAAAATTACAATTTTTCATCTTAAAAATAACCAAAACATTACCAACTGTCGTTATAATCTCATATTTAAAAGGAATTGTAGACATTTGAAACAAAATTAAGGATCTCAACTGAAATTCAAGGATATTTTCCTATTTCCGCGAAATTCAAGGATATTCAAGACCTTGAAAATGAAATTTTAAATTTAAGGATATTCAAGGATTTTCAAGGACCGCGGGAACCCTGATATCGCTAAAATGAAACATCAGGACTTGACACCTATTTAAGATTGATCACAGTCAGTGTCCTAGTATAATTGTTGAGAAAATATTTATTAATACAAATTCTAATAAGTGTAAATCTTTAACAAATAAATATTAAAATAATCATACATGTACATCAAATACTGAATATGCAATTAAGCAATTATGCAATTACCATTAATTAAAATTGGATAATTATGCAATTTATAATAAGTGACATTGAATGACGATATAACATATTTGTATAAATGAAATATATGTAAAGCTTACACACGAACATTGATAATAAAAAATTATGAAAACAAAGAGACATAATGTCAATAAAGATAGAATATCATGGTGAAGACTAAAGCCGACCTCACACACTGTGATTTTCATGTTGGTACATGTATGTTACAATTACACACAATATCTGTACATTGTACATTGTAGCCTGCGATAATATTAGTACAAACATTGTTCCATTTTAGGAAATATGTGATATAATGTACGATTTAGCTAAGATGTAATAATTTAGCATACCATAGAGTTTCGAATATGTTCAAAAATTTTAATCCTATCTTAGGCAATTGTGGCGTATTATGGCTAGCCACAAAGGGTTGATTTTTACTTCCCAGACTGAAGTCCACAGATATGATTGCTGTGTGAGGAGAAGCTCATGTCTATAATTGTCTGCTAACGCCACAATTTACTGTGAAATGCCAAAATTAGCCTAGTTATGAAATGATTAGCCAAGACAGAATGACATACGACAGGGAGAATTTCAGAATGGAGGCCGGCTTAAGCTAAATAGAAAATTCAATTGCAAAATAAAAATTTCTTTTGTAAAAAGATGCTGAAGGATGACTGTGCATTGCTTAGCTTACCTTTTAACTTGTAAATTAAAAAAAAAATTATAATTCCAATATATACTGAAATCAGTATTTATGTACAATTAATACAAGTAGCATCATGTTAAAATGTTTATTAGGTTTTTGATTTGAAGATCTAAAAATTTGACTAGTTTCTCTTGAAATAACAATGTATAAAAATGTATGACAACAGTGCATTTTAAAGCTGAAGAGAAAAACCAAACAGGAGTAATCTCCCTTGTGACTATGTCAAGATAAAAATTTAGTTTGTGAATTTGAAAAAAGGGATAAGCTTATTTTCAGACCAACCCCTACAACATTGGGTGATGCATAGTTAACTGTTTCACACCTGTGCGTAATTATATTTAAATCTTATACATATACCGGTATTCAAAATTGAAAGTGCCCAGGAAATTTCAAGTGTAGAATCTAAATGCCTATAAATGATAGGAATAATATAATTTCCTATTTAATCAATATTTATATGCAAAGTTGTAAAAATTTGAAAATGTATATCATAATAAATTTCTGAATACTATTTAATCTGATAGAAACCAATATTATAATAGCAATACAAGCCTTCCATCAGTTCAATTTGCATGATAATAACAGTCTGATAATGTACAGTATATATCTTAAAAGATTTTCATTTGAATTTAAGGTTAATAATGATTAAAGATGCATTATGTAAGATTTCTATAATAAATAAGAGTTAAAAAATAGATAAAGAAGAGGGAATATGTTAAATTACTTCATTCTGAATGGAGTTATGTCTGTTTTATAAAAAATGTAGACTCAATTGTCGTTGCTACCGTTGTTACGATAATAAACAAAGTCATGATTATCTATTTTTAAATTAAATCATTAACTGTCAAATCAAAACCATGTGAAGTACAAGAGAGTTGATTGTGGGCCTACTTTGTAAATAAATGTCTAATTAATGATTTAGCTCTTACATAATGCATCTTTAAATAACCAGGGTCTCATTCACAAAAACTTAAAACTAAAATAATTTAAGAACTCGGCCCTTTCAATGGCCAAAGGCTTAAGTTCGGGGAGCAGTAACATTAGTGCTAGAATATTAACCCCCCACCCAATGAAATGGTTACATTCTTAAATAATAATAGTTTAAGTTTTGTTTTTGTGGATTAAGACTTTGGAATACTACAGGTGTTCAATCTGATAGAAGCTAATATACCAGCCTGGCCAGGATATAATAGGTTTAGTTGTACATGTACCTGACAAAATGTCAGACTCTTATGAACTAATTCCTGCCATTTTCAACTTAATGCCAAAGATTGAATAAAAACACAGAAAATAGATAAATTTGTACCAGACATAATGACAGGCGCCAGTGGGATTGTGCCTGACGTTTGTGCCTGATGTTGTCTGTGACAGGTGCCCCTTTAATCCAGGCTTGCGATATTACATAATAACAGCCATACAAGAAACAGAACTTACAATGTATATACGGTATAGGGAGAACGGTAGATCGGAGACAGTCTTGCATATTTTAGCACATGACGTCATATGGTTAGGCTTAGGACCTACTTATTTCTCGAGATGTAAACAGGACTAGTGGCTAGTGCTAACCCTAACCCTGGACCAAGCCTAACCTTTACCCTAACACACAATCCACATATGACGTCATATGAACAGGACCGTCTCTGATCTAGCATTCTCCTGTATCACTCGGCAAACCTCAACAGATTCTAGTACCCTACATCTAATCTCGGCTGTATGACAAAGTCCGCCATTAGAACTACTTTCAAGTTCCCAGATTACAATGGCGTTGTCCCTGACGACCACTGACGTCATTGATGACGACGTATTTGAAGAATGTTTCATCTTACAAAATTTTCAAAGTTTGAAGCTGTTTTTCTTTCAAGTTTATCCGATTTGCACTGACAAATTTGCACTGAAAATTCTACACACTCTTCGAACGACGCAATTTTGAGAACTTCTTTGTAAACGCGGGCAAGTTTCCCTTATAAGTAAACCGGTGCCGCATCGCAAATGTATAGGCGTAGGTACATATCACTTACTGTCATACAGCCGAGGATAGATGTAGGGTACCGGAATCTGCCGAGGTTTGCCGAGTGTCTCCTGTATAATAAAGTTAGTCATGCTTATTAAATATCAATGAAAATGAAAAGTAGATAACGAAAAAAACTCCTATAATTTTTTCTTTGATTCAACATGACCATTAGTTTGTGGTTTTCCATTTTTAACATGTTTTTGTTTTTTGTCCTTTTGAGCCTTGATATAAGCGTGGAAATAAAAGTTCAGGAAGAGAAAGAGGATGCTAAAACCGTAAAAGATGAGAGCCCAGTGCATCCAGGCCGGGAAATCACATCCAAATACTAGTGACTGAACAGCATGGGTGATTCCGATGACAAATTGGATCAGTTGAATTCTGGTAAGGTAACGCTTCCACCATAGGAATTTCTGGAACTGTGGTCCGAGAGCTGAAACTCCGTAGTATGTGTACATCAATACGTGAATGAAGGAATTCATCATGGCTCCAAAGAATGATTGTCCTCCAGCGACCCACTTTATTCCGATCCACCAGATGGGGAACATGGTGGCGTGATGATAAACGTGGAGAAAACTAACCTGATTGTTCTTCTTACGTAAAATAAAAAACACAGTATCCAGCATTTCCAACACTTTCGAAAAATAGAACCACCACAAGGCCTTCGCGATGCGTATCTCGCGGGGGTTATTACTATAAGACACGGGTTGACATATGTAACTATAACCTAGATGGTATGAATTAATCAACAACTCTGTACATGTATGTAAGTTTAAAATAATTAAACTAAAATTATAAACCATTAAGGCTCGTTTACAGTCGATGGCTTCTCGTTTGGCCATTAATTTTGGTACAACCAACACGAACACTAAGTAAAGAGCTGTTAGCATCAACGTAGGCATGTAGCTTCCCATGAGCAACCAGTTTGCAACACGATCATCAGATAATTTAAGGGCGCCATCATAAAATTCCTGAAGTTCTGTGATTTTATCCGTGATTAAATCCATGATGGCAGTCGTTGATGTTTTTGCTAAATTAGTAAAATACTGGTATGGTTATCAGCTTTCAGATTTTATCATTCCACAATACCGTACCTGAAAAAATGAAAGAAAAATTGATTAAAGATACATTATGTAAGATTAAGAGGAGGGTTGGATGGCCGAATGGTAATCACGTGCACGCTGTACATGTATCATAAGATCTGTCATTGAGTCAACTGGCGTGGTTTCAATTCTCCGATTGTACATGTACATGTCAAGGAGTAGGGTTGTCTGTCCAACCACGTGGGTTTTCTCCGGGTCCTCTGGTTTCCCCCACTGCTAAAGACTCTTACGCTGAAATTGAAACATATGTTAGTCCCAAAATGACCTAGATTGTGTCAGTGAACATTAAACCCTGTTTCTCTCTCTTTCTCTGTAAGATTAAGATAAAAGGCTATCCATTTTTGCTATAATAGTTCAAAAATAGATAAATGCAAAATAAAGATATTGAAAATTTCATATAAATTACTCTGTTCTGAGTGAAGATATTAGCACTTTTGAAGGTTTGACAAGATGTGTGCATTATTTGCAACCACCATATTGGTTGTTCTAAGCTAAGCCTCATTTCTCCAGGTACATGCATATGGCTGAACAGTTCTAATGTCATTGATTATGAACTGATTATGGTCTTGTCATGTTAATGTCTAATTAATTAATAGTTTACAATGTATATAACATTTAAGGCCTAAAGAAAGACCTGCAGTAGACCGATTTAGCTCTCACATAGTAATTTGACATTAAAACAGCAGAAACCAGCACTCTGCATTTCCAGTGTTACCTGGGGCTAAAACTGTTGTACCGAGGCAGAGGATATTTGCCAATGCAACAATGGCACTAGTATTCATCATTTTCTAAATCTAACCCAATAAATAAACCTACATAATTATGTAACCTTAACTCTAACCCTGTAATACAGAACTTTTCATGTGTATTCTTCGGTGGTTTGTCCATAAACCTTATAAAATATATACTATACTACACATAATTACTATACTATCTTATAATAAGTTGTCAATAATTTGCTTTGCTGAAAGAAATTATTTGCCACCCCGGTGGAGAATATCATATATTGACCAATAGGTTTATTGATTAAATGGAGTGGCGAATAACCACTCCCTCCTACCAACTAATTGTAGATTAAGGCCTGTGAGTCTGATTAATATTTAATCCTCACTGACCCCAGTCAGTACACAAAATTGACAAAACATGTCAGTACAGATTCATATGCAGAGCAACGTAGATTACAAACATTTCTATCCAAGCTATTCCCTTTTCATAAAAAGGACTTTGAACAGACAGAATATGGTTGATAAGCGATTGAGATGTGGGTTGATATTGAATAAGAACACACGGTGCATGATATATTCGTGGGTGCGATAATTGATTTTTGAAAGTAAAATTAGAATCACTAAAAATAGAAATGCCGACTAATCATTCATCATAATGTCAGTAAAATCAAAGAATTTGGCCCTATCTATTGATCTAGATTGTAGTTACCTGGCCTACTTAATCTGAAATTCGACCGATTGCGTCCCTAATAATCGCACATGTCCAAACAAACCGGCTTCTCATAATCTTGACAGGACCGTACCCGCCATTAATTAGGTAGACTTAGTTATCTAGTCACTTTGATACTGAAATCGCGAAATCGTCCATTATGAAAAGTACCTGATCAATCCTGACTATAAGATCAACTTCCGACAAGCTACCGGCAGCTAAAGATTATAGCACGCGCGATAGTATGCGATGTGATGGTTCACTGCAATAATAGGCCAAGCCATAATTATTGATAATTTTCAGCAAAAAAGATTCCAACATGGCGCAACTTTAATATATCTGATTTAAACAAATCTGAAAGCTTTGGGCTGATCAAATTGAACATAATTATGGAAAGTTTTAATTATTCATTTGGCCGACGTTTCGAAGAGTAATCTCCCACTACACTTTACAGTAATTTTGAGAAATTATACTAAAATGTAAGGCAAATATATAGGCCTACAGTAAAACTATAACAACAATTCATGAAACCATGCAGGACCAGTATGTGTTATAGTTTATTGCTCTATCCAGTTATTAAATGCTTCCAAAAGATTAAATTATATATATTATTAGAAATATTTTGACCCCGAGGGAATTTCCCTAAAATACATGTTTTATTATACCGTGAACACCCACAAAAAAATTCGCGTCGTTGTGCTGGGGGTCATAACTTTTAAGTTAAATTTGTACTTTGAATAATATAGCTTATTTAAGAGCTAAAATACAAGTTTCTACATTTTTTATTGCTGGGATGATGGGCAATAACCTACACAACAAAACAAAACTATCTTGCAAAACATGGGTGGTTATATCCTTGGTGAAGTTTACTTAAATTTTAAAAATAATATAACACGCTATGCCATGATATACTGGCATTACTGATTTGCAAAACACGTGTTCATTGGGTTATGCCACCATTCCGGTTTCGAGGGGCGTTAAGAACAATCTGCATTTACGAGAGGGTCTCATTTTTGCACGTCAAAGATTAACGGAAGAAGAATACTATTTTCATTTCGAGTTTTAGTATTTTCAAAGAATCAAAATATTTTTGAATCATTCATTGTATAGCAAAATAAAAAGTGTTTCCGTTATTTAAACTTATGAATAGTATATTAATTAATTCAAAACATTTTACATACCTTGAGGTCTGGAGTGTGGTATATTGACTGTCTCTCGTGCAGCTATTGCCAATAATACACAGTTATTTCACAATCAGCTCTATTCACAAAACCATGGTATGTAACCAGACTGTTGTATATCACTTATTTAATACTAATAAAGTGTGATATATAGACTGGGAATATATGGTATATATAATAATATACTAGGGGACATGTGTGTGTAAATATATTATTGTACCTATAGTTACCGTAAACATTGTTTACACTATTATAACTGTTGCCCTGGACAGCGTCGTCAATATAGACTCAATTGACAGGTGTTTGGCCTAATTAACCATGGTAGAGACGTTGTGGATAAATCCTATACCAGTCACCTATAAGAGCCATATAGTCTGTGCCACACGCTAAGTCGATTGAGTGAGATAGGATTTGATAATAAGAAGACTGCCGTTCGTTGGATTGAATAGGGCTGTACGGTACAAAGCTAATTGTTAACAGTCAGCGCGTCAATTGATTACTTATCTAGATGACCGAAGCAGATTAACCATAGAAAACGGACGATATTCCATGAATTGATTTAATTAAGATGAATTGATATAATTATTCATCTTAATTAAAAGATGAATAATGATCATGATAACACCATTAAACACATATTGACCATGGAAAACGGATTATATGTTAAACTGTGTTTTATAATGACATTTCTAATTCTAAATAAAAGAATTGTTTTATATTTTTATCTTTTTTAAAATTAACGACTGCAGGTAGCAAACCCATTTCTAAATAAAATTGAAAAGATTCCCACTAAATCAATCCATTGCCACAAATGGAGAGATTTCAAATTAAACATACATTAAGCAAGAGCTAAAACAATCTATTGCAGGTCTTTCTTTGGTTTGGACATGAAATGTTTTATAAACTATTTATTAATATGAAAAGACCTTAATCAACTCTCGATGCCATCTTATGTGTTCCATTTTCACTGGATTTGAATCCGATCTGCTGTTCAACGCTCATTGTTTCGGGTTCTCCCGGTATTGACAGAGGTAGTTCCTCGGATTTTCCGGCGTGGTTTCCCCTTGTCAGCGGTCCAGGACAGAGGTTCCGTGCACGTAAAACCCCATTTCATAATTTGGCTAGGAAATGTTCAAATTTGGTGGAAATTGTATCCAAACCCATGTTTTCGTGGCCAGGGACACAAATAAACACATTTAGAATATAATCACATAATTACCTGATGCACAATATGCAAATTAACAACCGCCATTAGTGAAAAACTTATTTTTCCCCCTAAATCTGAAACTCTTTGACTTAGCACCATAAAACCAGTATCTACCCTCATAATTTCAGGGTCAAGGGTGCCAAAAAAAAAACACTAGGAAAACAGCACAGTGGTATTGCATAATATAGAATATGCAAATTAGACGCCTCGGCCATGACTGAAAAATACACTTTTAGTCCAAACTCAAAGCATTTGCAATAACCTGAAAAATCAAGTTCCCACACCCATTTTATTACTTTCAAAGAAAGTAATAAAAGTATCTGTACCTCATTATGGAGAACAATTGACTGATTGCATTAGTACCAGAGCACTGTTGTCATGGGGGTGGGGGTTGGGTGGAGTTGGTCACATAGCCCCGATGAAAACAAACAAGTTATCAAAATTTTATCATCAGAATTGTCTACAACTAGTTCGGAGGTCCTACAGCTATGTCCTTTGAAGTCTCCACAAGTATGTCAGTGCAGTCCAGTCGATGTTTTTTTTAAAAGTGCACCAATCAGTGCTACACCTAGTTTAACAGTTAAACCTGAACAGTCACGGGAACTCTTTAAGTATTAAGAAACCCTTGACGTTTATCATCACCATTATATGTAATCATTATATAAACGTAACTGTTAATCTTATTGCCAGTGATTTTATTTGTTTTAATATAGTTTATTAATTGATGAATGCACACCATAATGTATCTATACATCATCATTATCAAAACATTATAACATAGCTGTTAATTTTATTTCAAAGTTAATCACATAAATAACCACAATTGAAAATTGAGCACAATGTTTATAATAAAATGAACAGTAAATTTGCAAAAGTCCTTGCTAATGGTGCCGTTGTCTGGGAATGCGAGAAACGCAGACATGGTAAATGCAAAACCAAGGTAAAGATCCAGAGAGAAGAGGTCAGCCAGTCCGGAAAAGTGATCAAGCTCATGCTGGTGACCCAGTACGTGAAATGATTCTTGGGGATGAAAAATACCATAAAGAGACAATCCACTGGAACCCAAGAGATTGCAGAACCAATTGTCACTGCTGCAGTCTCAAAACTACCAGAAGGAACCATTTCCCGTCTTCCACCTATTAGACACCTCAAACGTAGTATAAGATGTTTCAAGACTACTACCAGGGAAGCTGGTACCTCTACCAACAACTCAACAGGCCATGAAAATACCAGACCAATACAAAGAAAATTTTAATGGGGAACATTTCCTTCTGTCTGCAGCCAGGTGGAATTTTACTATATTCAACAGTGACCAACCTGAGGTTCCGACCTCAACCGATCATCGGTTGGCTGATGAAACCGCTAAAGTTGCACCTGAAATATTTTACCAGATTTACGCCATACATGCCCCTACACTGTAAAAAATATCCATTTTTTATGTGGCCGAATTCCGTAATTTAACACCTTTTTTCTGTTAATCGATGGATTTTTTGGAGAAATTGTGTTAATTGTCTGAATTATTTCTTCAAATTACGTGTTTTATGTATTTCTGTGGAATATTCAGTATTAAACAGGAAATTTCCGTGAAATTTAGGGATAAAATGTTTGAGGAGCACATAAAATGGCCGCCAGTACCAGCCAGGAATAAAATAGCTCTGGAGAAATTGTGCTGTACTTCAAAAATACTAACCAACAAAGTGCCATTCCTTCTTGTAATGTTAAGATAAGATTATTATACATGTTTATTTGGATTTTCGTGAAATTCTGTGGATTACCTTAATCTTAATTTTAGAATTTTGGATTCAAAAATATAGTGACAATTCTTAAATAGAGCCGTGAATACTTAATACTATATGGATAATAAAATACGGTAAGCTATTGCTTCGTTTATATGGATATTACAATCTGCTAATTTATGTGAATAATATACAAAATATACTTAAAATATACGAAGATGGAAGTAAATTCATTTGAAAACCAATCCTCTCAAGTAAGTTCAAATTGTGAACCAACACCAATTGATGTCAATAACAATGAGTATTTCACACTTAGTGACTACACAGATAAATGCTGCAGTGTTACAGTACAATTTATTCAACACTCATATTTTAACATAATGGAAAAACTGTTGCATTTACACTATTCGAAAGACAGTTTTCCAAAATCGCATCATGGTTTTGTTCTAACTACTGAAATGGGTGGCAAAAAACTCAAGATTTATCTATACCCAACAACGGATATGGTACATATTCAAGGAGGGGCCTGCATAGCATGGATTACATCTGTTTTTCCAAATCTTCTGGATAAATTCGCAGGAGATGTGAACAGTATTGAAAATACCTCAAAGGAAGATATATTTGATGTTAATTCTGAATACAGCCATAGTACATCTAGAAATGTAATCATACCACTCCCTGTGGAAAATAGTTCACTTGATTTCATTCCTCCAATTTATTCTACACCTTATCAATCACAAAATGTACATGTAACGAACTCTGACATAGACTGCCTGTTTGAGAAAATAAGAGATCTTGATAGCCAAGTGTTTCAACTTCAAGAGGCCCTCAACCATAAAATCAGTTACGTTGACAGTGCAACTCAAACAGACCCGGTAATGCTAACCAGTCAGGAAATCAACACAGACACTATCAAAATCATATCAAATGAGACACCAGCAGTAAATCAACAACAAAATACTAGTGAAGACAAACCGGTTAGTACAAGAGATAATACTTCAGACAACAATGTATCCATTATAAATCTCCATTCCCACGATGATAAGAATGTTACAACAGAAACTACCACCCACACTACCCCATCAACATCAAAGACACGTGCCAGTACAGATACGCCACTAACAACTAGAACCTTAACTGAAGAGAGACAGGATGGACTAAAGGTCATTGACACCAGTAAACCCAAAGAACCACCGATTGTAATTGGAGCTAAATTGTCAAATGAAACCCAATCCCCAAAAAACATTCTTCTTATCGGCAGTTCCATTTTACAAAGAGTTAAATTAAATGGGCTAAAATCAAATGTTAAAGTGCTGTCAATTAATGGTGCCAAGATTTTCAACATTGTCAAAAATCTACAGCGCATGGATCTCAGCATGTATGACAAAATTATCATTCAGGCTGGAGGGAATGACGTATCAGAGCTACGGTCCTTATCTGATATTACATATGACCTGAAAAGAACAGTGGACACTATTAGAAAGAAAAGGCCAAATGCACATATTTTCATCTGTGAGGCTACACCAAGACATGACCAGGCAGGACAAAATATCGATCATAACATTCAATTTTATAACAATGTCCTTCGTGAGTTTTGTGTTCAAAAGGCAGTAAATCTAATTCGAGTGTTTGATTCAATAAAATCTGACTACAGACATATTTGGAAAGACAATATTCACTTGTCTGACAGAGGTACATCTGCACTACTACATATTTATGAAGAATATGTAGACATTATCAAGGAAAGACTAGACATTAACAATAGTTTCATTAAACCCTGTTTCTTCTGTGGTATTTCGGGTCATACAAAAGACACGTGTAAAATTGGTACCAAGGTTACATGTTACCGGTGTAATATTGAGGGTCATAAAGCGAATCATTGTAAAGCATTTCATAGGCAATATTGTACAGATAGGTACTAGGATAAAGGCAATGTTTTTGAAGCCGGAAAATCTACGTATGATTCTGATTTAATTGATTATAATAATTTTATGCAATATATGACCAACACCACTAATATTTTTGATTATTCTATTGAACCATTGATTGATAACTTCCACTGTTTCACTAATGTAACTCTTTCAAGTAATAGCACAACTAATGATACTGAAACTTCCTTCGATAATCCTGTTGGTACTGATAATAATAGTCTGATTTTTGAAGATCATAAAAGTAATGATCCAACGATGCATAAAGGCGACCTCAGCAGTCAGTTTATTGACTCTGATGTAACCCTCGATTCATTACAATCCATCAAT